GCCTGCAAAAAGGGGAAGCCGAATTAGATGTGGCAATAACGTGAAAGATCAAAGAAAGTTGCTAACTTGCACTAAGCAACCCTATAAACTCAGGCTTTGGCTGTCATGAAGGTACATATGAAAATGAATCGCAACCAGAAATCAACTAACTCAATAGCTGTTTGTTGCCCATCTTCATCCAGCTCTTACATCCTCGTGTTCAATGAGCTGCTTGGTTAAAATAAATACAAAAACCCGAAGATGTCACATGACAACTCCAGCCTTATGGGGAGGAATCTAAAGCAAAAATGGGTGGAGCTAAGAAAGCGAAGCTTCACCCTCGCTAGGGACTTAATGGTTGCCATGGTGGTTGAGACAGAGAAGCCAGTGAAGAGAAAAAAAGGGGGTAGGAATAAACTTCACAAAATCTAAGAATTCATCTTGGCATCTTTCAAAATCTTGAGTTAAAGCCACAGCAGGAATCGGACAAAAAGCCCTAACCCCAAGTAAGACAAGGAAACATCTGTCAGACTCCTTTCAACAGTAGCTCCCAGACCTACCCAAGTATCCCATAAAAGTCCCCTTCAAAACACACAAATCACATCCTCCAGTCAAGGTCAGCAAGTCCAAATTTTGATACTATGTCCCGCTACAAAACAGTGTCGCTAGCAACCAACTGCCACGGTAGGAGAGAGCAAAGGCCAACGGTGGCTCCGACCCAGGCTCCCTGTGGTGGTACTCCAGACCAGGTGTTTCCCGAGACACAGACCCAGATCTCATTGTTTACATCTGCAGAGGCGAGTGGAGCCCGGGTCTTCGCTCCACCCTCCTCACTGAACGAGCTCAACGCTATCCAAACACACCCACCGTCCCCGAAAGCGAGCAGACGTTCAAAGGCGAACCCTACAGAACCCAGCCTTGGGAAGGATGATCTCCACTCCGTGGGAATCTCCGCCATCAAACCCTCAACCTGTCACCATGGCAACTCCACCGACACTGATGTGGCCGGGACCCCCCACCAACACGATGACAAATCAAGGCTGGACTGCGCAAACCCCCACCACCCTGCGGTCCAGACTCGCCCAGGCCGAACGGGCCTCCGCGTCGTGGCGGCGCGGAAAGTGACAGGCTGCTCAGACGCAGTACCTGGGCCGCCGCCACCGCTTCAAAACCGTCGCAGCCCCTCCGCGAGCTCGCGTCAACAGCTGCGGCGCGGAAGCGCGCCTCGCCCGCCGCTGCCCCGAACGCCGCCCCCCGGCCCCCTCCCACACACGGCCGGCGGAGACATACTTGTGGGGAGTCACGTTTTGCAGCATCTTGACCTCGGGGAACCGCCGCCGCCGCTCAGCCGCGTGAAGTCCGGGTGGCCTCGGCTCCCCTCACCGCCGGGCCCAGCATAACCCGGGAAGTGGGGGGGTGAGGCCGCTGCCCTTGGCCCTCCAGACGGCGGCTCGCTGCGGGCCGGCGCGAACGCGGTCTCCTGCGCCGCCCTCCGCACAACTCCGGCAGCTTGGCGCGCTCCGCAGGCGGCGACAGCAGGAAAATGGCGGCGGCCGCTGCCGGCCGGCGAGCCGCGGAGAACGCCGTCTGCAAACGCCGGCCGTGCCCGATCCTGGACTCCGCCGACAATTCCGCCCGCCGCCGGTCTACAGGGGTCCCCGCTTCCTGCCCCGGCCGCCGGGGGCAACGAAAACCGCGCTAGATCTCCGATGGAGGCGGATGAACACCAAAAGGGGTTTCAGAGGGCCGCCGCCTCCATCTTTGAAATCCTCTTGAGGGCGGAGTAGAGGGGTGGACGGACGCCGACAACTGGGCGGGGCCCGGAAAAGGGGAGCTGCAGGGGCTTCTATGGGGTCTGCACTGTCCGCCGGGGCCGGCCGTAGGCGGAGACGGAGGCCATCTCCAAGCGGATGGACGTGGATTGTATTGGCGGCCCCCGGAGGCTCGGATCGGTAGGCAGGCTCCTCCAGCTCGTCCTAGAGGCTGCTCCACTCCAGCACGAAATGGCGCCGCCGAGCCCCGCGCCAGCGCTTTATATATAGCCGGAGGGGCGGAGCTTTGCTGCTCATGCGCGCCACCCTGCTCGCGCTTTCCCCCGCCCCCTCTGCGCGTGCTCGCTCGCTCACGCGCGTGAAGAAGCAAAGCCTAGGAGGCAGGACCGCCTCTTCGCGGGAGCTTTTTCTATTGGTCCGCTCAGAGGGTGACGTCACAGGCTCCATTTCCAAGGCGTCGATGGCCCGGCAGAGTGCCGCAGAGCCGAGGCGAGGGGCCCGCCATGTCTCCTAGCCAATTGGCCGCGCTGTGGTTCGGCGAGTCCTGGGAGGCGGCGGCCGAAAGGCGTGCGGGCGCCATCTCCCCGGGGCCTGCGACACTCCCCATCTCCGGGTCCCACGGAGTCCTCCCGGGCTTGCAGGCACCGGGCGGCCGCCGATCGCCCGCGGCGGGCTGGCCGCGCCATTCGTACCTCCTCCTCCATCGGCGGCGGCGCCGGCGGGGCGCAGGGAGGGGGGTCGCGGGCGGGGCCGGCGGGCGGGCGTTCTCGGCTGAGGCCGCCGCAGGGAGGCTCTGAAAGGAGGAAGACAGACGCCATCTTAGAGGCCGCGGCCTGCTTTTGGGGTTGAAGCCTCGGCGCTCCCCGTCTCCCCGCGCGCGACCTAACGTCGATAGGCTCCGTGGCCCGCACGGCTCCGCGGCCCGCCCCGCACCACAGCCCCCAGGACGACCGCCCAGTACCGGGCCACCCCAGGTCCCACGGCTCGCAGCCCGGTCTCTGCCCACCCCGCTCCCCACGCACCTCCTGCCCCACGCGCTCCAGGCCTCCACCCGCCCTAAACACCTACCTCCGCCAGCTCCCGGCGTCGCGCGCTGCGCGAGCATGCAGGCGAGCGACACTGCGGTGGCGAGCGGGCGGCGCGGCCCCCCGCCCCCACCGGCCGGGCACCCTCCCCACGGAGCGGCTCTGCCACCGGTCAGCGCCAGGGAGGAGGGCGAGCCGAGGAGGCGGCGGCGGCGGCGCTGCTGCTCCGCAGCCCTCCCCCTCCCCTCCCCCCGCCGGCCGCCTCCGAGGAGGGGCAGGAGCCATTTTGGGAGCCGCTGCCCCCTCCCTCCCTCCCTCCCCGTCCTGGGACCGGGAACCAGGGCCTCGTGTAGGGTAAACAGGCCGAGCCCAAGGTCAGACGGCGGCCGCGACTCGGGGGGCCCGGGCGGGGCGGTAAAAGGACCCCCCACCGGAGTGCACCCCGGGCCCGCTCCCCGCCGTCCCCGGAAGGCCCGTGTGCGCGCCTGGGGGGGGGGGGAGTGGGCGCGGGGCTGTCGGGCAGGCTCCCGCCCTCCGCGGCAGCCCTCGACCTCGCACCTCCACTACTGCACTCAACATGGCGGCCGGGCTCCCGTCTTGTGGGCCGCACGCCGAGCGCAGACCCCGGGTCGCCGGGCGCGCGCCCCGCCCGGGCGGCTGCAGCGGGGCGATGACACAGCAACTCTGCGGCCGCTGCCCTCCCCTCCCCCGGCCCGCCTCCACCCCGGGGATCTGCACCGTGGGCGTCGCGGGCCGGGACCCAGGCCCGCCGGGGTGGGGGCGGGGCCGGGGGGGGGAGCGGCGGCGGGACGGACCGGGCCCCTGCCCCTGCGTCCCGGGCAGTCACGGCCCGGCCTCCCTGCCCCCACATGAGTCACAGGGGAGGGTGCTGCTCCTCGGTGATTTGGAAAAGTAACTCTTTCCTCCTTCCGCCCCCTCCCCCGCGGCGCGCAGGGAGGCAGCCGTCGGGGGGGAGGGGAGGGCGGCCACGGCACGCCGCCCCGGGAAACCCCGAGGCTCGCCCGGGAGGCCGGCCGGGCCCAGCGCCCGGTCCCGGCGGCCCTCCCCCAGCCCCACGCACAGGCCACGCGGGTGGGCCCGGCTGGCCCCACGGGCCGCGGGGCCTGCAGCGCGCCATGTGACGCGGGCTCGCCCGCTCGCCCCGACACAAAGGGCGCTCCGAGGCGCGCCCGGGTCCCCGGGGAGCGGGCCGGCGCCAGGGAACGGCACCGGCTCCCGGCCGGGCGGCTGGCCCGCCCGCCCGCGCTCGCACCCCACCCCGGCCCGCCGCCCCCACCCCGGCCCGCCGCCGCCCAGGCCCCTCTCACCTGGCTCCCGGGCCCTGCACCCCCGGGGGCGGCCGGGAGGGGGGACCGCCAGCCTCGCCCCTTGGCCCTCCGAAGGGTACGCGGGCACGAGGTTGGCCATTCCCCTCCCCCCGCTGGCCTTCTCGGGCTGGCCCCGGTCCACACTCCCATTGGCTGTCAGGTGTTTGAAAGACAAGTCTTCCCCCCGTCGGGAGTCTCCCCGGCACCCCAACAAGTCCCCCCACTCCCCACCTTTACTTAGGCATTTAAACGACGGACGGCGTCCCCGCCCCAGGGGCCCCCCGCTCACCTGGATCCAGGAGCCACGGGGGGAGGGGGGGCTCCAAAGTCGCCCTCGGCCCGGCCGGGGGGAGCACGGAATCCGGGGTGTCAACCCCCCCGGAAGCCGCGGCGGCGTGGGGGGAGGGGGCGTCGCCCCCGGCCCCTCCCTTCCCTGGTCGCCGGGGGTGGGGGGGGAGCGTCGGGGCCGCGCACCACGTCAGCGGCGCTCCGATTGGCTGGGCCGGGTCACGTGCCCGCGCCCCCCCCGCCCCCGCCACGAGGGCGAGGCTTCCGAAGGTTCCCGAGGGCCGTGTGCGGGGGTCACAAGGGCGGCGCGGCCCGGGCCTGTGTCCCGAGACCCCAGCCCTCGCCGAGGCCGCGGCCTCGCCCAGCTCTCGGCCTCCTGCGCGGCTGTGGCCGACCCCGTCCCCCCCACTCGCCTCTCGGTACGGGTTCAGCATGGCCGCCGCGGCCCCCGAAACACAACAGTGCGCAGGCGCAAGGGTGTGACTGGCCTGGGGGAGGGGAGGCGCGGGCCGCGCGGAGGGCCGTGGTGCGCAGGCGCGGGCCGCCGCGGGGCCTCCGGGGCGGGCAGGGAGCGCGCGCTGGGTGGGGCGGGAGCGCGCGGGCCTGGGCCTCCGCGGCCGGTCCCCCGCCGCCGCGGCCGCGGGAGTCGGTTCTTCCGGCCTGAGGCGGTGCCCGGCGCCTTCTGGCCGGAGTCCGCGCCGTGGTCGCGGGGGCTCGCGGGGCCTGGCCGCAGCTGCGGGTCTGCGGGGCGCGCCGCCCTGCAGCGGTGGGGTCCGCTGGGATGAGCTCTGTTGGACCGTTAAATCTGGAGTTGGGTTTCCCGAGTCCTTAAACTGCTTCTCTCTGAGAGGCCTGCAAATACCTGAGCTCTGCCTTCTACGAAGTTTACCACCGGTTTACTTCTCTGATCTTGTACAGGTAGACCATTTAACAAGACCCCCACTGCGAAGGTTTCGCCTGTATAATCATGATTCTTTCCCGACACTGGCTCTCCTCTCAATTTCTGTGACCAGTCTTACCAGTTTCTTTAATTTTTCTCATTCTTAGATTTATCCTATTAAAATTTAGGATGGTAACTAAATATGTAATGTGGTTGACTTAAAAAGTGAAGCTCGCCTTTATCTCTAGCGTGCTGTCGTTTTGTTTTTGGATTTTGGGTTTTTTTGCCTTTTAAAGTATGGTCTGGATTTCCACTCCCCACCGACAGACCACCTGCATTCTCCATGTGTATACTGGAACATGTTTCTCATTTTACCAGGGGGTTCTCAGTTTAAGGAAATTGCTTTTGACCTGGTCAGCTTTCTCTGTTAACCTAAAGTTATTTTGCCTGTCTATTTTGGTTTCTTAGCCAAAAAGAACACCCATTCAATACTGTACCCTGTCAGTAAGTATTCACAATGTCTTTCTCAACAGTCAGGATCTGGACTTGTCTCCTCCCAGTTCTCTCCTCATTTCCTGGTTCTTTCAGCTGCTGTGTGTGGGATTCTGGCCACCTACCTACCTTACCAGGACCTCCCGCCTGGCGACCTCAGGACCCAGTAGAGTGTTCTCATTGGACCTCTGATTCCCCCCCCCCCCCCCCCAATTGCCTGTGCCCTGTCCGTCTCCGGTCTGCCTTTAGGCCGTTTGGGTAGCTGGTGCCTACAGTGTTTGACAGGTTCCCACCCATACCGTCATCTTTAATGACAAGCCTTTCAACTCCACCGTTAGTTCAGACAGTTCTCTTGAGCAGAACTCATTAAGAATTGCTGCTTGGATAACCCCAGCATGCTCAGAATGACGGGGGCGCACAGTGCACTAGACCTGCTCCTGGGTTAAACACAGCAGCTTCCAAGTCACAGGCCTGGAATGGGGAGCGCTGTCCTCACCCTTCTCACAGCTTTAAATCCACCAGAATCTTAGCGTTTTCTCCCTTCACTGTCCACTGAGGCACACTACTGTGTCCTACTCCATCACCTGGACTTGTTAAAGGTCTAAGTCTCTTTCCGGTGTAGTAGCCTGTAGCCATGGAGCAACTTGAATTTAGATCGATATTGAATACAATTTACTCTCACAGTGGCACTAGCCACATTTGAGTTCTCAGTAGCCACATACGGTTAGTGGATGTCACATGAGGCAGCACGATTTACAGATTATAGAGTGATTCTCTGTAGAAGGCCTTGCTGTGTCAGGCGAGTGTCCTGCCACTGGGCTTCGTCCCAGCCTGGAATTGTGTTTTGGAGAGTGCTGCTCTGGGCTCTCCCTCCTGGCCTGTGCTAAGAGTGAGCCTCCTTCACCAGAGCTCTGCTCCGGTCTTACTTGGTAGTCCCCAGGGCTTCTCATTACACAGTCACAGTTGAAGTGCTGTTTGTGGGAAAGGTCTGCTTCCTGCTGCCAGCCTCACTCAGCCGGCTCCTCTCTGACCCTCTACCCCACTCATGGAGCAGTCTCCCAGATGTGTGTGTGCACTCGGGGATGTTATTTTGTGCCTTGGTGTTTTACCCCCATGTTCCTACATGGGATTGGCTTTCCCTTAATTTAACCCAAAAGGTCAACATCTCCGAATAGTGCCTATTTTTGACTGCTAAATTAAGCTGATTTCTTTGGATTCACTTTTTATGGTGAATCATGTGATCCCTTGCTTCTCACGCCTTCATCCTGAGGTCGAGACTGTTGTGGTGGTGATATGTATGTGTGTGTTTCTCAGACAGGGTCTCACTATGTAGCCCTGGTTGGCTTGGAACTCTGTAGACCAGGCTGGCCTTGAAATCACAGAGATCCACCTGCCTCTGCCTCCGAGTCCTGGGATCAAAGATGAGGGACACCACACCTGGCATTACCTCCATTTTTCAGATGAAACAACTGAAAAAAGATGTTAAATCAGTTATCCAGGATCAGACTGTTGCTAAGTTGCAGAGCTGGGATTTGAACCCTAAATTCTGCTTCTGAATAGTGTGTTATTCAGTGTACCCAGATCCATAGAGTTTTGGGTCTAAGATTGGGAGAGGAATGGTTGAGAGTTATCTTTAAGGTGGTGTTTGAATTAGCTAGGAAGGGAGATAAGCTTTCTAAGGAGAAAAGTAGCTGTACTTCAGGGATTAAGCTTCGGATGAGAGCTTCGTACAGGGGACAGGGCTGGAAGCCGTGATGGAACATCAGAATAAGGAGAAGCCCCGTGGGGGGCTGAGCAGCAGGATTACTGACCATGCTTCTACCTCCCAGGTGTGTGGAATACAGGTGGGTAACTACAACTCCTGCCTGAATCATATATCCTGCAGCCTCTTTGCAACATGGACTTTTGGGGGCCAGTTTGGGGAAGCCCTTGACTATACAAGGCAGTATTTGTAAGCAAATAAAGTATAAAATATAATGGTCAAATTTCTATGAATGTGTGATGCCTGTTCACCGTGATGTAACGTGAAAGTGAGTTCTAATACTGACTTCTACAGGTGCCACTAACACTACAGATTTACAGACTCATAACTCAGATCTCCGTTTCTGATAACTATTTGCAGTATTGTTAGTAAACCTAACACCTTCCGCATCCTAAGGAAACACTCGCCACTGAGTCATACCCCAGCCCCCTTTTTACTTTTTATTTTAAGACAGAATCTCACTATCTTGCCCTGACTGTCTTGGAGCTTAGAGATATGAAGACTAGGCTGGCCTTGAATGCACAGAGATCCTCCTGCCTCTGACTTCCAAGTGCCGGGATTAAAGGTGTGTGCATCGCCAAACCCAGCCACAACAGTTTTTGACCTTTAGTCTGCTACATGCTGTGGAATTCAGAGGTTCAGGAATGTAAATGGAGTTTTACTCTTTATTTATTTTTTGGTTTTTCAAGACAGGGTTTCTCTGTGTAGCCCTGGCTGCCCTGGAACTCACTCTGTAGACCAGGCTGGCCTCGAACTCACAGAGATCCACTTGCCTCTGCATCCAGAGTGCTGGAATTAAACGTGTGTGCCACCGCTACCCAGCTGAATTTTATTATTTAAGTTTTTTAAATTATATTTGTTCATTTTATGTGTATTTTTCCTGCATGTATGTATGTGTATTACATGCATGCTTGGTGCTCTCAGAGGTCAGAAGAGGATATCAGATGCCCCGAAACTGGAGTTATGGGTAGTTGAACCACCATGTGGAAGCTAGGAATCGAACACCTGTCCACTGTAAGACCATCTGTCATCTCTCCAGCCCCTGTTATTATTATTATTATTATTTTATTTATTTATTTTAAACAGTGTATCCCAGGCTGCCCTCAATCTTACTGTGCAGCTTATTCTTCTGCCTCTGACTCCACATGCTGGAATTACAGGTGTGTACCACCAGCCTAGATGGAATTTTTGTTTTAAGATATATCATCTTAATTTTAATCATGTGTTTATGTATGTGTCTGTGTGTAGGTGTATCCCCATGAGTGCAGGTGCCTTCAGAGACCAGAAGAGGATGTCGGTGTCTGGAGCTGGAGTTAGAGGGAGTTGTGAGCCACTTGACACGGGTGCTCAGGAAGAGTCAAAAACCCTCCAAAACAGACAGACAGAACCCCCTGTTGTGATGAAATGCAAAATGAAACCCTGCAGATGTGAGGGAATGAAGGCGGGCATGGAACTCACCCGGCTAGTGCTAGTTTGAAGACACCCTGCCCCTGCAAAACCCCTCCTGCACTGGAGTTTAATCTCGATGGGATTAAAGGATGATGAGGTGTTAGAGGTATGTCAGGAAGGCTCTGCTGCCCTCAGGATGGGTTAGCTCATTCATTAATGGGTCATGGTTTATCATGGTGTTGTGAGTGACTATTCTTCAAGCCAAGCAACTACCATCTTGGGGAGATCACTTGTACCCCATCTCAAAAGGATTTTGGGCTTGTAGACTGTCTGTGACCTATTGGGATGATCTTTTTGTACACTGTAGAGACGTGTCTCTGTCCTTCCTCACCTGCCTAAGGCACCTTCTGATTGAACAGCCAGTAGCTAGGCAGGAGAGGATAGGTGGGCCTTCCAGGCAGAGATAGGAACTCTGGGAAAGAATCTGGGGTGGGAAGGGGGAGACTTGGGGGTTGGGGGTCACCAACCAGATACTACAGAAGTTGGACGTGTGATACTGAGGAGAAGTAACAGCACATAGATTAATACAAACAGGTTAATTTAAGTTGAAGAGTTAGTTGGGAACAAACTTAAGCTAAGGCCAAGCTTTCATTATTAATAACAAGTCTCCATGTCGTTTTTCGGGAGCTGGCAGTCCAAAGAAGGATCCTAGGTGGTGGTGTACACCTTTAATCCCAGCACTCGGGAGGCAGAGGCAGGCAGATCTCTTGAGTTTGAGGCCAGCCTGGTCTACAGAGCGAGTTCCAGGACAGCCAGGGCTACACAGAGAAACCCTGTCTCAAATAAATTTAAAAACCAAAACAAAAAAACAACAACAAAAAGACCTGTTACAGTGACCCACTGTGGACGGGTGAAGAGGGCCATGAGAATACCAGCCAGCGACTCTCTACCACCTGTTGCGTACAACTCAGCCGTAAAGTGCTTGTGGTCTTGGGAGAGCATCTGATTATATAGCCAGCCAGGGGAAACAAGAGGAGGGGCTCCTCTATGCAGCTACAGCCCTCGTCCCTGCTGGGAAAAGGCTTTCCAGACACCGCCTGTGGGGGAGGAAGCACCCGCTTCCCTGTAAGGAACCCCCCTATGACCTCCTGTGCTCTGTAAGAAAGCCCAACACACTCATTTGCTCCCCCGAGGGAACGTCAGTGGGATTGTGCCTCAGTTTGTTGTTGAGGCCTTAGGAGAAGAGGTGGACATTGCTTACATCTCTCCCTGGGAAGGAATTTTAGCGACACATGGGATGACATTGTCACAGAGGTGGGCTCTCTCCTGTTTTCCATGTGGGGCCCTCCACCATGCCTTGCTGTGTCTAGAACTACTATATAAACTACCAGTTATAAACTACCCAGTCCTGGATATTTAGCTATAGCAACAGAAAAGAAATATTGAGACAGTTGAGAAATTGTGGAGTCTTCCGGGTACTGAGTGCTCCCAGGGTCGGGCTAAGAATCAGGATGGGGCTCTGGGATCCCAGAGCAAGTAGGTAGTTCGGACATGGAGGAGAAGGCACAGGGAGACACCAGCTGTCAGAGGAGGGAGTGAGAGCTATGTTGTGGATAGATCCCCAGGAACATTTACTTCTTGGTGACCATGGATTTAGAGACAGGAGGTCAGTAAGAAACCTAGCACAAACAAGGCTGTGGTGATATTTTGTGCTCTAACAAAGCTTGCCTGGAGATCAGAGTGCAAAGCTAGCCACTAGTTAACCATAGAGGCCAGTTAGTGGTGGCATATACCTTTAATCCCAGCACTTGGGAGGAGGAAGCAGGAAGATCAGGAGTTCAAGACCACCCTGGGCTACATGAGATTGATCCAATCTTAAAGAGAAATAGAGCCAGGAGGTGGGATCCCAGCACTTGGGATCTCATGCCTTTGGTCCCAGTACTTGGGAGGTGTAGAGAGGAATATAAGGCGGGAGGAGACAGGAGCTCACTCATCCCTTTCAGGCTGAGGGGTTGGCACAGTAGGCAGTGGCTGTGGCTGCTCCTCTGTCTCTGATCTTTCAGCATTTACCCCGATATCTGACTCCGGGATTTTATTATTAAGGCCAATTAGAATTCTCGATACGCAAGACAGAAGAATAACATAAGTCAAGCTATCTACACTTAGAAAAGAGCCCGTCGACCCCAGCGCCGGCCTGGACCGCAGAAGAGCCCGTTGACCCCAGCGCCGGCCTGGACTGCAGAAGAGCCTGTCGACCCCAGCGCCGGCCTGGACCGCATGCTGTGCTTCCACCTGCGAGCTGGGATAACAGGCGTGCACTGCCATACCTCCTCCCAGCTCCTCCTCTTTATAGCACCTTTCACAATTAAGTAAATTTATATGTTTATGTTTTATTTTTTGTTTGTTTGTTTTTTGAGACAGGGTTTCCTGTGTAGCTTTGCGCCTTTCCTGGAACTCACTCTGTAGACCAGGCTGGCCTCGAACTCACAGAGATCCGCCTGGCTCTGCCTTCCGAGTGCTGGGATTAAAGGCATGCGCCACCACTGCCCGGCTAAACATCTATTTTCATTAGATGATTAATTTGATAATAACAATTGTCTGATGACATAGCCAAGTACATAGTATTTGCTGAGTAAACAAATAAATCTAGGCATGGTGGCACCTGCCTTTAATCACAGTACTTGGGAGGTGGAGGCAGGAGATCAGGAGTTCAAGGCCAGCCTGGGCTACTTATTGAGTTTGAGGCTAGCTGCAGCTACTAGAGACTCTGACTTTAAAATAGGCACTTTGAGTCCATTCTCTTGTTTATATAGGATAATGAATCACTCAGTAATAGTGGGTCCTCACATCATCATAACGTAGATGAAGATGGATGAGTATCGATATGGGAACTGTGGCTGGGTTTGCCCTCTGAAATAGAGTTAGCAAAGGGCCTAGCATGTGGCACACCTTGAATCCCAGCACTTAGGCAGGAGAAGCAGGCAGATCGACGTGAGTTCAAGGCCAGCCTGGTCTACATAGAGAGTTCCAGTCAGGGGCCCTGTCCCAAACAAACAAAACAAAACGAAAAAGAAAATGGTAGTTGACAATCTTGGGAAGGACTTAGGATGAGATGGGAAGAATAGCAACAGTCAGTGGATGCAGTAGGTGAAGACATCTGTAAGGTGGGCCAGAGACATGCCTCAGAAGACTACGGAAATACCCATGTCCATCGAGTCGATCCACCCCCATCCTGTGCCTGTGCACTCCCAGCCTCATGTCATCTTTGTCAGGTATGTTCCTTTTCTGTCACTGGTCACTTGGTGGACACTGTCCTTTGAATGTGCTTCTCTTGGTTTATGCAAGAGTTCACTCTCTGAAGCCATAACCGAATGGGAACTTAATCTAACTGTGAAGCACCCAAGGACTTAATCTAACTGTGAAGCACCCCATTTAGGAAGTGATTGGGGGTTGGGGATTTAGCTCAGTGGTAGAGCACTTGCCTAGCAAGTGAAAGGCCCTGGGTTCGATCCTCAGTTCAAAAAAAAAAAAAAATGAAAGGAAGGAAGTGATTGGACTTGGCTTTGGTCTTTAAGGTGGAGCCCCTCACTGAATCCTGGTGACTTTATGAGAATCGGAGGGGCTGGAGAGACTGCTCAGCATTGAGAGTTGCTTGCTGCTCTTGCAGAAGACCTGAGTTCGGCTCCCAGCACCCATATGGGTGACTCACAGTGCTCTCGTAACTCCAGCTCCAGGGGACTGGATGTCTCGGCCACAGGTACCCATCTTTACATGCACGCACACAACCCACATGCATAATTTAAAATTATAAATCTTGAACAACAGCAAAGAATGAGGGCGGGCATGCAACTCATTGGTAAGGTGCTTGGTAGCATTCACAAGGCCGGGTCTAGTCCCAGCACCCTCGCTTAGGCGTGTGGGAAGAAAATGCAAGAGCTGTTACAAGTTAGTTGCTAGGACTTGGTTGAGGAAGTTGAATCTGTTGGGGTCTCCCACACTGATGACATGGGTGACTGTGTGGCCTACATGTCATTGCCTGAGCTCTGGACTGTAGGGATTGGAATATGCTGGAAGGGAGCACACAGAGGCTCAACTTCTAAACTGTCTGCCTGGTGTTTGTTAGTGAAGTGTTGGCTGGGGGTTACATATAATGTAAAACAGAATACCTGCTTCACTCCTCCCCAGAGGGCATTTAAAAAACTTTAAGGCATTTGAAACTTCCTTCTCTGGCCCCTTTGTGGTAACTGTTGGATAGGAACACAGAGGTCTTAATGAAGTCAAGCAGTTCCTCTTTATTTTGCTGTTTGGGGTAATGACTGATGTAATTTCATCAAAAGGGAGGTGATTAGTGTAACAGAGCCCCAGACCTTAGCACAACTGACTCCATGATGGAAGTGCCATTCAGGCTGTAAAACTCGGCACTTAGCACCACCTGCGAAAAAAATGAAAACAAAGACCTAATCCATCACAGCCCATAGTTCTAGGAAAGTCTCTAAACGCACTGGCCTTACTTTTTGGCTTCTGTAGTTCTGCTTCTGGCTAATTGTTCTTGTTAACTGAAGTATGTCAACCCAGAACATGGTTTTTTTGTTTTGTTTGTTTTTTTGTGCTTAAGAGCTCATCCTGAGAAAAGTTCCGGGATACACTGGGATCCCGAACACCCAGTGTAGCTGGCTAACAATGACTTTCTGTTGGCTTAAACCCAACACACCCAGCTACACATGATTCCTTGAAGCAGAGCCTCACCCTGCCGGTCAGGCTCTCCCTGTACCTCGTACATAGACTACGCTGCCCCTAATTATGGTGGTCCTTTTGCCTCTGCTTCCCAAGTGCTGGGACTAGCGGTGTGGCCCACCACGCCTGGCTGACACAGAGTCAGCCTCACCTGAGAGCCTGGGGTGAGCTCCTGCTGTCAGCTGTGTGGAAGGCAGCGTTGAGGAGGCCGGCGGATGGCAGCTCCAGGAGGGCTGAGAGGTGACCGTGCACTTGGCCGCCGAGATGGCCTGGTGGACACACCTGGTTCACGCCGAACCCGCTGGATCTTCTCTCGGAAGGAGTGAGAAAGTTAAGAGGCTGCAGGCCTTTGTGGCACAGGAGTGATGGCTCCAGGCGGGCTGCCCAGGCCCATGTGGCCATTCTCCAGTAGCAGCGTCCTCAACTGTTCAGATCCCACAGTTGAGCCAGTGTCTATCCTGTAACCGCTTCTAAATAACATCAGCCAGGGTTGCCTCCCTCCCTCCCTCTCTCCCTCCCTCCCTCTCTCCCTTCCTCTCTCCCTCCCTCTCTCCCTCCCTCCCTCTCTCCCTCCCTCTCTCCCTCCCTCTCTCCCTCCTTCTCTCCCTCCCTCTCTCCCTCCCTCTCTCCCTCCCTCCCTCTCTCCCTCCCTCTCTCCCTCCCTCTCTCCCTCCCTCCCTCTCTCCCTTCCTCTCCTCTTTCCCGCTCCTCTCTATCCTATTCTGTTCCAATTTTGAGGAAGTGTGTCTCACTGTTAGCCCAGGCTGTCCTTGAACTCATGATCTTCCTGTCTTGGCTTCCCCAGTACTGGGGTTTTTGGCATATACCACCATACCTGGCCTCCAGAATTGGTTTCTGTTGTTTGCAAGTAACAGCCTTAACAGGCAGCTCCATGGTGGAAATGTCTTTTGTTTTATTGTGTCTGCTAAAGTCAACTTTTGTTTTTGTTTTTTGAGACAGGGCTTCTCTGAGTAACAGCCCTGGCTGTCCTGGAACTCTCTCTGTAGACCAGGCTGGCCTCGAACTCACAGAGATGCACCTGCCTCTGCCTCCCTCTGGACAAAACATCCGTGAGCTGGAGCTGCTCAACTTTGAAGTGGAGGCGTCTACAAGCAGTGGGACGGCCGGGGCGGGTGAATTCCGGAGCAGAACTGGAGCGGAAGAGGTGAGTTTGGAAGACGCCAGCAAATGGGCGGCAACCGGGAGGGAGTAAGTGAGGCCATAAATTCCGTTCAGGGCGATTGCATCCAGCAAGAAGGGCAAAGGTTGAAGAGAAAGCACCAGAGGACCTGCGTTCCTAAAGCCAGGTGTGGTGGCTCACGCCAATAATCCCAGCACTTGAGAGCCTGAGGCAGGAGAATTGATGTGAGTTCAAAGCATGTGCTACATAGTGGGTTTCCTGCCGGCCTGAGCTACAGTGAGACTCTACTTCAGGAAACAAAACAAAGCAAAGTAAAATAAAAACCAAAGCAGCAGCTGGAAGAAAAGCCACGGAATACATGAAGCAGACAGAAAAGGGATTGCCAGAGAAGGGGGAGGGGCTTGGGCAGGCGGCCTCTAGGGACGTCAGACCGAGTAGGAGAGAGGGCAGGGCCAACTGGGTCAACTGTGCGGTCTGCTCACAGCCCACCTGATGAGCAGAACAGAAATACTGGGGAACCGTCTCATGTTGAGAGTGAGGGATTTTAACAAGTATACAAGTGGGGACCCAGTGGCCCACGGCTTTTCAGGCGCATTGGCTTGTCGCGGGTGGGGAGGCCGGGGCTTGGGAGCTGGCTCTCTGGGAATGCCTCCGTGGAGATTGTTGGTGACAGTGTAGAGTGGAGTGGTCACAGTGGCTGCACTTGTTTCCATTTATAGTAGGACTGTAGCCTAGGGAAGAAGGTGACCCAGCCCTGCCCACTCCTGACGAGGCTGGTGGTGGAGAACTTGGCCCCCTCCGTCTGGTTCCTCCCGCCTGAGTAACTCCGCAGTCGGACCCACCTGCTCCTAAGCCCTCCAGAGGAGCCCACTTCTGCTGTCCAGAAGATCTCGGAAGTCTCTGCTGTCCCGGACACACTGCGTATTTCCTGACCACAGTTCCTAGGTGCAAGGGGAGAAGGGCTTTGCCACAAGGTGACTTTATTTGGAGTTTCCATCCTAATTCTGACCACACACAGAACAGCATTCACCAAAGTGTGGGCCTGTGAGCAAAAGCCAGCCCACTGCCTGTTTTCATGTCGCCTGGGTGCTAAGAATGGTCTCACATTTTTTAAAATGATTATTTTAAAAAAGCAAGAATGTTTCATGACACATGGAAATGATGTGAAATTCACATTTTAGTACCCATAAATATAAAGAATTAAGGACAGAACTTCAGGGAACATCAGAAGAGATCAACTAAGAGGGGTCCAGTCCTTGAGGGAGAGCAGCAGGAGAGGCCTGAGAAGCGTGGGGGCGGAGGCAGGGCAGAGCCGAGCCTTGTTCACGATGTTTTCCTGGCAGCCAGAGAGGCTTTCTATCTGTTCTTCACAGAAAGTTTGCAGACTCTGGTTTAGAATTCCAGGTGGGTGGCTGGGGTTGTGGCTCCCAGATAGAATGCTTGTCTAGGGTGTGTGAGCCCTGGGTTCCACCTCCAGAACTGTAAGTAGAAGGAGGTTGTGTAGAGCAGCAGATGGCTGTGTGCTGTGAGTCTCTCCTGTAGAGTGCAAGCCATCTCCAGACTGTACCCCTGCCCTGAAACTGTCTCCTCAGCCAGAGGCCTGTAAACAGGCACACCGCACATTGCTGTTCCACACTCGGGAGCTCTTGGTGTTGTTCTGTTCTGCATTTGGCCACAGTCACTACTGGGAGGCATTGAAATAGGGCGCAGTTTGGCATGTCTCAGAAACACTGACCAGACCATGTGAACGAAGGCGAATTGCTTGGGTTCCTTAATTGCTGCTTAGATCTTCCTCACTGCCTCCCCTCCCCCCTCTCCTTTCTCTATCAAACTTGAAGCATACACAGCAACAGCAACAGTTTCTTCCTCACCTCCCACTCCTCAGCCCACCACAATCTGGAGTTGACTCCTACTACAATCCAGAGGGTGTTCTCAGTCATGTATCCTCCAACTTGTAATTGCCAGATCTGACCCTCCTCAGCTCTCCTGCATTTAGGGTGGCGCTGGGTAATGCCGGCTTCACCCCCCAACCTTCTGTCACCTGCTGTTGCCCTGTTCCTCTCCCTAGGTGCTCCCGGCACTGCCAGATTCTCGGGGATTGGCAGTGGGAGTTCTCTCTCTCTCTCTCTCTCTCTCTCTCTCTCTCTCTCTCTCTCTCTCTCTCTCTCTCTCTTTTCTCTCTCTGCTGCACCCACCCTCCAGGACTAGGTCTCCCTCCTGGCTTTCCTGGCTGTCTTCCCTGCAGATTCTGCCAGCAGGAGGCACTGGCAAAAGATGGAAGGAAAACCTAGAAACTTCCTGCTTCAGTCTCCAATCTGGTGATTGACCGTTGTGGCCCTTGGTGGTGGTGGTAGCCACGCCAGGAATCTGGGCAACAGCCTCCTGGGAGAAGCTCCTTCTTCAGGATCCTGTGCCTGGTGGCAGCTTCTCAGCACATGTCTCCACAGGGAGACTGCAGGTGTGGACAGGGCTCTGGCTCAGGCTGGGGCAGTGTCCGATCCCACACACCCATCTCCTCTAGCTGCACCTGCCGGCAGCCTCCCCCTTTTGATACCTTAACATCTTTGAAACTGACTTTATAGATCGGGTACTCTCAGCCTAGCATGCTTGAATCCCAGCTCTGGGAGGCTAAGGCTGCTCTGCTGTGAGTTTGAAGCCAGCCTGAACTCCAGGCGTGGCTCAGTTTCCTGCCTGGGCCCTGGGTGTTGGCTGATGAGGTTGGACCCCTGCAGGCCTGTGTCTTTTTTTATCTGACCTCTTTCACCTTTGGCATGGTCTACTTGGTGATTTAACCCTCTGCTTCATCCTGTGTGCTCACAGCTCCCCAAATCAGACTCACCATCCACACCGGGGATCCATCTCCATCCACCTCACCACCTCTGTGGGCTGTTCCACAGCATCCTAAATTTAACACATTTAAGACCATATTTATTCTCTTTGTCCCCCCTCCTCTTCCTCTCTGTCTTCCTCCCCCTTCCTTCCCCCTTGCCTCCTCCAACCCACGGCCTCACACATCCTAGACAAGTGCTTTGCCACTGAACTACAGCCTTCCCAGCACACGTACATTTTTCTGAGGCAGGTTCTCTATGAGTTACTCAAGCTGGCCTTGAACTCACTCTGTAGCCTCACCTTGAACTTGCAGTCTTGTACTGCAGGCTCCCAGGAGCTGGGGTTACAGGTGTGCCCCACCAGGTCCTGAGTGCTCAGTAGCCCGACACTTCAGCTCCTACCGCCTCCCCATCTCTGTCCTAGCGCATTCCCCTTGGTTCTGGGACCTCCTTGTCCCCAGCTTCTGGGGGACAAGGCTGCACTGGCATCTGTGCTCTAGACCCTTGGCCGTGGTTTTAGTTTTCCTCAAGCTCCAGTTGTTTGAGATATCAGAATAGTCACTCAGAAATGATAGAGTTGGCTGGTTGTGGTGGCACACTCCTTTAGTCCCAGCACTCTGGGTTTCTATGGGTTCAAAGCCAGCCTGGTCTACAGAGTGAATTCCAGGCCAGCTAAGGCTACACAGTGAGACTTTCTCTCAAAATAATAATAATAATAATGATGATGATGATGATGATGATGATGATGATGATGTTATTTTGTATCATGCCCTGGTTTTTTGCCCATCCAATCATCCATCTATCCATCCATCCATCCATCCATCCATCCATCCATCCATCCATCCGTCTTGCCACACTGGGCATTGAGCTCAGTGCCTGCACGTACTAAGCAAGGACTTCCCACTGAGTACATCCATCCCCAGCATGTTCCCTAGTGTTGACGTCAGTGTTACCGACTGCGTCAGTCAGCCCCTCTTTGTGCCGTGTCAAAGCCTGTGTGGCAGCTCTTGCCTGGATTTCTAGTGTATCACAATGTGCCTCATCACCATGGGAACTTGTGGGCACCCTGTACAACCTTTCCTGTCAACGTCACCGAGGCTGCAGAGGAGTTGCGATGCCTTTGACCCTCATGCACCTGCCCCGCCCCTCCCCGGAATGCTTTTCTCTTCTCTCACATTCTGGTCAAATTGATTTTCCTTCAAGTCTCTTATGTCAGGTCCTCTTGTTATTGCTGTGATAAAATACTTAACAAAGCAACGTAAGGAGGATGGGCTGGCTGTGGCTCCGCCTGAGGGGACAGCCCATGATGGTGGGAAAGTTATACCCTCAGGAGTGAGTGTGGCTGGCTGTGGTGTACATGGAGTCAAGAAGCAGACGGGAACACTGAGGTTCAGCTTTTTCTTTCTTTTTATTCAGGGCAGGACCCCAGCATCATGTGTGATGCCAGCCTTACTTAGGGTGCCGTCTCATTTCAACCTGGACATTTCCTCACAGACCCATCTAGAGACTGTTTCCATGGTGATTCTAAATTTCAAGTTGACAGACAAACTCTCACAGCACTAAAAGTTGTCCTGTGTCCCCTTTATCCCCCCAACCTCATACAACCTCTTAAAGTCACCACAGTCTTGTGTTGCCATCGTCATGACAAAGTGAGATCACTTAAAAGGAAGATTTACTTCGGCCCCTGGTTTCAGTTCATGGTCACTCGGCGGCGGCGGCATCATCTGAGTCTGTGGCAAGGCAGAGCACGGCCAGGAGTGAGTGGAGCCGCAGAGTGGCCGAGAGGGAGAGGGAGGGTGGCAGTGAGTCTGTCATGTCATCCAGTCTTCCAGCTAGCCCTACCTTCTAATGTCCCTACTGCCTCCCAAGAGCGGCGTCAGCTAGGCCAAGCCTTCCACACATGAGCCTTTGGGGGACATTTCAAGATGGTGGTACCCCTTACTCATGAGGGACCCATTTCAAGACCTCTGCAAAAGCAACAGACAGTACCCACACACACACACACACACGCACACACACACACACACACACGCACACACACACACACACACACGCACACACACACGCACGCACACACACTTATATATGTTTATTGTGGTGGTTAATCACCCTGGGAACTTTAAAATCCTACAGTGTCCGTCACACAGGTAAGTCCTGGTGTGCAGGATGGGCCCATCAGTAGGATTTCTGGTAGCAAGTGTGGGCACCAGGACCTCCAGACTCTGGGCAGTGACAGTTTGGCTACTAACAGGGTCCTGCCATCCTGGTGAGGAGGATGTCTTTTAAATTTTTTTTACTTTGTGGGTGTTTTTCCTGCACGTATGTCTGTGCGCCATGCGTGTGCTTGGTGCCTATGGAGGCCAGAAGAGGGTGTCAGATCCCCTGGAACTGGAGTTACAGATGATTGTGAGCCACTATGTGGGTTCTGGGAATTGAACCCAGGTCTTTTAGAAGAACGGCCAGTGCTATTACTGCCTGAGCCTTCTCTCTACCCAAGGATGTCCTTGATCTCCTTCTTGGAAGCCTCATCCATATATTTCTGGTACTAGGCCACCTTGGAGACAGACTGTTCTATAGCATAAAACTGGACCACATGACCACCACCCTTCACATGGACCTGGATGTCCACACAGCAAACTGTTCTTTGTCCAGGAACACACTGGCTCCAGTAGCTTGTATTTCAGCATGTGGCTCCATCACCATGAGGGGACGCCTGGCCATCTTGATGAAACTGTTTCCTCATTTGCATTGTGCCATGGGTGTGCTGTCTTCTTATGTCTGAAGACCTGTGTGGACTGGAGCAGACCTGAGCGCCTCGGCACATGCTGCTGCTATTGGTAGTTTAATCTTAGTCGTCAGCACAACTGGATCTAGAATCACCATGGAAACACTGCTGGGTGTATCTATGAGGGTGTTCTGGAAAGGCCACCATGGAAACACACTGCTGGGTGTATCTATGAGGGTGTTCTGGAAAGGCCACCATGGAAACACACTGCTGGGTGTGTCTATGAGGGTGTTCTGGAAAGGTTTAAGGCAAGAGGGATGCCCTTCTCTAAAGATGAGCCGCGTTGGCCTGTGGGCTGGGGTCCCAGATTGACTGAAAGGGAGAAAGACCTTCCTGGGGTCTCGGAGGAAGAAGTGGGGTCTGAGAGCCAATAGGACATTCAGCCCATCACAGTGTTCTGCCAGCAGGCAGCTGTTTCCTGACCCGATGCGATGTGGCCAGTGGCCTTGTGCCCTGTCACCATGCCTTCCCCACCATGACGGACTGTCTGCCCACAAACCCTAAACCAACACACACCCTTCCTCCTTAAGCCGCTGCACACCCGCTGTGTGACCACAGCAGCAAGAAAAGGAACGAACACACACTCTGTGTGCACACGCACAGTGCAAGGAACTAATACACACGTGTATATGTGCACATAAGCAGTGCATTTTCACATACGTAGTAAAGCGTATTCAGTTATAGTAATAAGACAGACCACCAGCGACAACACGTTACTGTAAAAGTTAAGAGAGGGGCCAGCCTCCCGGCGTGGTGGCGCACGCCTTTAATCCCAGCACTCGGGAGGCAGAGGCAGGCGGATCTCTGTGAGTTCAAGGCCAGCCTGGTCTCCAAAGCGAGTTCCAGGAAAGGCGCAAAGCTACACAGAGAAACTCTGTCTTGAAAAACGGAAAAAAAAAAAAAAAAAAAAAGAGGGGCCAGCACGATGGCTCAGCGGGCCGAAGTGTGTGCTGGGTAAAGCTCGCCGCCTGTTTGATTCCTGGACCCACAGTGAAAGGAGGGAACAAACTCTTGAGAGTGGTTCTTTGATCTCCACATATATGTCCTAGCATGTGTTCAGCCACACACACGGGTGCATGCGTGTTCTCTCTCACACACACGGGTGCACACACGTGCACACACGGTATCGGATGTGAGAG